CCTTACACTTGTACACACAGTCACTTTGGTAAATAAAACTATCAGCAGCCATAACGTCATTTTTAACGTGCAAATAGAGACCAACTATTCCCGTGTTTGTAACACGATGTCTTAATAGTATTTTCTGCAGGATACTTCCATTACACAGAAGTAGATAAAAATAGGATAAATTACCAACCATCATTACCTAAAAGATACGTCATTAGTAAAAATATGAAATTATAAAAACGCAAATAAGACAAACAATACAATAAATAAATAATACAAGAATAAACTGTATTTCACATACTCACAACTATAAACCTACTTTTGCCCACCCATGTATAGGACCATAATGGGCAATGCAACACCAATGGTCCTAGGCTCCAATTCCAGCAACAGATCGCACAAACACATACACACACTTGCATGCCCTTCCTCCTGGTCTTTGTGACAATGCCAAACATTACATATACTTCCAAATATTCCCCAGGGGGAGGGGGTGGGAAAAGCTTCACCCCCCCCCCATTATTCTGCAATAATCCCTTTAACTGAAGGTAGCACAGAATAAACAACTGCAAATAAAAACCAGAAAACCTTTCAACAGCGCAACAGCCCACAGCTAATATAAGAATATATTATCATTTCTTGTCCTAAGTAATGGATTTACATGGCACTGGTCAGCCAGTCAGGTTATTTATCCAGCACCAACTGTATAAGGCACTGTTCTACTGTCAGAGATTACTGGGAAAAGAGAGTTTATATTCTGATGATCAGAGATAAACAATTTATAAAGTCAAGAAATAACTTTAAGAAACATTCTATTTTATCATGTTCAGAATACTGTCATGAGGCTGCTGGGTGCTTGCTGCTTAAAATCAGAAAGGGCCTTCTAAGACGACTTGATTGATAAAGCAGGAGCCGTGGTAACTGGTTGAAATGTTAGAAAACAGAACAGCAGAAAGCACCCTTGAGATGGAAATAGTCATAGTTTATGAGGAGGATTTAAAAAAAAGGCAAAGTATGGATGGAAGGTTAAGGAAGAATAGGAGGAGAGAGGTTAAGAAACTTGAGAAGATATGGCCTCCTTTGGAAGCCCATTTATTAGTTTTCAGCTTTTCAGCATGGGAATGTTGTGACCTAAACTATGTTGCTGAATGGTTAAGACTGTAAAGAAGGAAAGGAGACCAGTGAGACTAGATAGGATTCTTCAAATGGTACCTTAAGCTAAATGGTAAAAAGTGGTTAGATGCAAAAATATTTTGGCAGTAAAAACAGGACTACGAGCTCCTTTTAACATTACCTAAACCACTACATAATTTAAAGAATGAAGCTACCGGGTGACCTAACTTGTACTGTTGGCTTGTTATGTCTAGTTAACAACAGGCACCCTTTAACAAACCTAGTATCAAACTCAAGCAGTATGACCTCCGGCAAGCCACCCAACCTATTTACTCCTCCGCAGAATAAAAATAATTCCACCTACCTTGAAGAATGAGTTGAGGTGATATTAAAAGGTAAAAATGTAGCACCCAGCAGAGCTCCTATACCTTAACAAGCACTCAGATGGTAGCTTTATCCACCTTTAGAAATTTAGATCTTGTTTCCCTAGCTAGATTATCATCATTTAGGTATGATTTTTTTTATTCCCCAAAATACAAGAAAGATGTTGGCTAAAAATGAGGTCGTTTAAAAAGTTTGCAGCTGCTTCTAACTTCATGCCTCTTCAGCTGTTAATATCAACTGACCCATTTTTACAAGTAATTCAGATGCAAATTTAAAATCTACAATAGCTTTTCATCTATGAGGGAAAATCATTGCTAAATCATATTAAAAAATAAAGCCCAATACATAAACTATCACAAATCTAAGGTATTTCTCAAAACTCTCAAAGTACCAGAAAGCGAAAGTGCTTCAGTCCTGCCTATAAATAATGCAAAAGAGGTATTTTCTCAATCTAATTATCTACAACCAGAATGATAGTTCAATCATCTTATATAAAAACTCACCTTGGATAGAGCTGTAAATTCAAGTAGACTATCATGATATGACACAATTAAGGAATTTTCAAAGTATGCTCCATGAAGGAATATATTTAGGAGAGGGGTACTCATTTCCACAAATGAATACAAAGTAACAAAGCACATCCAAATCAACTTGAGTTTTGCATTTTTCTAGACTGTTTAACTTCCTCAAAAATCCAGTCCTTACTTTTACTGTTGGATTAAGGCAAATCTCCCAATTCTATTATAACCATGAGCCCTGCCACAATAAAGCATCCTTTTGGAAAAAAAGCACTGATATGTTCCAGGGGAGGGGGGAATTTAAAAGGGCTAAATGGCAATTGGGAAAAAAATACAATTTTTAAAAAATAAAAATTAAAAAAAAAAAAGGAAAAAGCGCTATGTTCAATTCATCCCAGTGGCTATATACCACTACCACTAAGAATCTTTTAAAAGCACCAAAGTAAAATGCAAAACCTCCTATTCAACACACAGTAATAAAAATAAGTATGCCTCCAGATTTTAATCACAAACCCAGAAAAAAAAAGATGAAGTTTAATATAAGAGTTCCCCGACCAATCAAAATGGCTGTTTGGTTATCTAGGGAAAGTTTCTGCATTACGGTTATAAAACTTAACTATATTAGTAATTAAACTACATAGTAAGCCTACAGCAATTTTGGACTATATTATGTTAAACCAAGGTAACTGTCCAAACCAAAACATATTTCGTAATGTGTATTTACTAATATTCAAAATCATGTTACAAATGGATTATATATCATCTTCCTCTAATGATGTCGCAGCACTGTCCAACCCACAGCCCAGGATGACTACGAATGCAACCCAACACACAATTGTAAATTTACTTAAAACTTTTTTTTTCATCAAAGTTTTCGTTAGTGTTTGTGTGTGTAACGTGTGGCCCAAGACAACTCTTTTTCTTCCAATGTGGCCCAGAGAAGACAAAAGGTTAAACAACCTAGTAAGGTTTCCAGACATTGTCTAGTAATAAATTCTAGTGAGGCCCTACCATAATTAGTGTATTGTGGTAGCAAGAATTAAGTAGCCTACACAAATGTTGGTTTAATTATTCCTACAGCCCTGGCAGGGTGGCTCAAGTTGGTTAAGTGTCATCCCATAAACCAAAAGGTTTCGGGTTCAGTCCCCCATCAGCATGTGTACAAAAGGCAACCTTTTAATGTTCCTCATACCCATGTTTCTCTCTCTCTCTTCCTCCCTCCTTCCTTGTCTCTCAAATCAATAAGCATGGTCCTCTGGTGAGGTTAAAAAAAATGTGAATACTTGAATTACTTGTAACACTAAATAACTATACTTATTAAACGAAATTAAGACTTTAGGTAGTAACCTAGTAAATGAAATGGGTCTGACATCACTAGGTAAATTCTGTACTAATTTCCTGGTTTTTGTAGTAAGATAGCACCTCACTGCCTTCTACATTTCCACATTAAAACTGCTACTTTATTACTACCTGGCAAAAAATGTTTTTTTTTTTTTTTTTTAGAGTAAACTGAATTATTTCTAAAGTAACTTTTCAGAACTCTAAAAACTTCTTAGTTATACTAGAACTGTTCAAACTAAAATTTGGACAGCTCAAAGGTTACCAGTTAATGAGCTAGTTATACCCCCAGTAAAACAGGAAGCATTCTTTGAAAGAGGGAAAAATCTGCAATGATTTAAAAAACAAATACCTAAACTCCTGAATTTTTTTTAAAGAAACCTATATTCTTTTAAGTACCATACTTTTCTAATGTTAAACCTTTACCATATTCAATTATACACACCAATGGAGACATACAAGCAATATAACAAACAAAACAGAGTATCTTTCTCCTTAAGGATTGTCTTAAAATGCAATACATCCAATAGTGAGGGATGGAAAAATAAAAGTTTAAGAGGAGAAAGCTAAGGATTTCAAGTTTGCTTAGCATTACCCATAAAATTTAAGGCAGGTAAGGTAAATTTAACAAACATATGCCATAGTGAACCATTTACATGTCTTGGTTTAAAATTAACCCTCAGTATCTTCAACTATAAAATGTAGAAATCTGAATCACAAGATGTAATAAAACTAGTTTGAAGGAGTTATGTAAGCCATAATTTGAAACATTAAAGTTCTTTTTTAAAAAGGTGGGGAGCCCTGACCAGCTTGGCTCAGTGGGTTGCCATCCCACGAAGCAGATTCCCAGTCAGGGCACAGGCCTGGGTTGCATCTGGGTCCCTGGTTGGGGGATGCAGGGGACAACCAATGGATGTCTCTCACATAGATGTTTCCCTCCCTCCGTCTTTTTCCATCCCTCTCCTCTCATAAACAAATGAATAAATATCTTTAAAAAAAAAAAAAAAAAAAGGTTGGGAAAATGCCCTGGCTGATGTGGCTCAGTTGATTGAGCGTCATTCTGGAAACCAAAAGGTCGCAGGTTTGATTCCCAGTCAGGGCACATGGCAGGATTGCGGGTTCAGTCCCCAGTCAGGGCATGTGCAGGGGACAACCAATCAATGCTTCTCTCCCTTCCTCCCTCCCTTCTCCTCTGTAATCAATGGGGAAAAAAAATTTTTTTAAATAATTTTTTAAAATAGGTTGGGGAAAGCACTAGGTCCTCACCTAGTATCTTGTATTTTTAAATAAAGTATTGCCACTCACCAATAAATCATTTATTAACTAGAAATTTACCATCACAATGTCTTTGTGAAGTATTTTTGAAAAAGAGATGGCCTAGATATGGCCAGAAACTATGGGAGCCCTACCTACTACAGTTACTTTGTTAAACTTTTTAACATTCCTATAAATTAAAAAAATAAATATCACAAGGCCAGATGTTTCAAAGAATCAGGAATTCTGCCACATTACCTTATAAGATCCTGAGTCTGACCAACTATACATGCAAAGAATACTGCTACAATGTGTACAAAGAGAATGTGAAAAGGCAGGCACAATAAGAAAACAAAAATGGCTTTAAAGATAATGAATATGAAGACCGAAGGAAAAAAAACTTACCAGTTTAACAGCCTCCTGAGCTGCTTCTTTTGTACAAAAAGTGACAAACGCATAACCTCTATTGAGACCTGTGAGTGGATCCATCATTAGACGAAGATCCCATATAGGTCCAGCTTTCTCAAATAATGGAACAAGTTCATCTTCAAACAGATCTCTTGGGATCTTCCCCACAAATATCTGTAAGTTAAATATGAAGTAAAACCATGGAGAATTTCTTTAGGAAACCATATACCTGTGCATTACTACAAAAGGTACAAGTTTTTAGTTTCTTTACCTCAGTGCCAACAGAAGGCTGCTGACCTGAATAAACGGAATCTGGAGGCGGTCCCCCATACTTCCTCTGTCCAGTGGTCACATCAAGTGTGTAGCCTGTTCTTTCCAAGAGTGCCTTTAAGAATTCAAATGTCATTAATACATTTAATTTACAAGACCATACCCATGCATTTAGCAGTTAAAAGTCACAATCAATCTTGTCCAAATTTTTCCATTTTTCTTGGCCACACTCCTACGAACAGGTTTCTGGTGTTTGTTTTAGAATTTCCCCTTTAAGGTACTCTTGCAATAGCCCCAATTTATAGAGAAAGTCTCAAAATCCTGTTCAAATTATTTGCTGGTCTGTAATTACTGAGTAGTGCTTAGAGAACAACAGGAAACACATGAATCCATCAACATCTTTCAAAGCATGCTATATCTAGTCTGCCAATACCTCCTAAAATAATGACTGCACATAAGTTGGTTAACTTTTAATTCTCTCCTGAAGGAGGAGCAGTATCAGTTACTTACCCCAGCTCTGGATTTCTTAACCAATAAATTCCCTACACCTTGTACTTCTAGGTACACATTACCACTGAAAAAAAGCCAAAACGACTTGGAAAACTATGAAACTGCAACAATGTGACAATTTCTACATTTTATCTCCCTGAAGAGTAAACTGTTAAAATTTACAAAACTCATATTTACTCAGAGAATTAGGAGTTTCTCTTCATCTCTTATTACAGGCAAAAGTACTAGAAAGAAGCAGTCCACGCTTAGCCTAAGGAAAAAACCAAGTATTCCTCTTCTCCACCTACTCAAACCACAAAGCACAAAATGAAGTTTTCTAAATGATAAAACCAATCTAATAATTAACTAATAAATCCTGAAATAAAAACACACCAGGGATGTAACATCAGAATTCTCTTAAATGATTTAGAGTCACCTCAGTCTCTGAAAATGACCATACACATTTTAAAAATTTTCTACTCAAAGAACATTAAGTATTTGTAAAAAAACAAAAACAAAAAGACTGTAAATGACAAAAATGCCTCTATTCCTAAACTCTCACAAGAGTCCACAAAATATTACATATTATAAGCAGTCTTTTTCTATTATACCCAAATGTTTGCTTAAGGGAGCAACATTGGGTAAGTTACAAAAATAAACTCAAATCTATTACTATCACAAACTAAACCGTTAAATTACTCATCTTCCTTTCTTCTCATATATAATCCCTATGCTTCTTTTACCTTAATTTTTGTATGACCCAAATAATACATTTTAATGTCAATCCCTAAAAACAAAAGGAGAAACTTATTCCTTCTGTACAACCACCTATAAAAATGCCTGTCTTCTTGCCACAATTTAAGTTACAATAACACTTTAAGCCACTTCCAAAGACGGAATTGAAAGTAACACAATTTAAACTTTAAACTTTTAATGATTCTAACCCCCAACACAGAGTTAATTACAATTGGTAAAATTTCTATGAAAAAATTTTTAAGGTTTGAATACAATTCACTGACAGCTGGACTTGTGAAAGCCTCAAACCTATGGATGACATTAACAGCTAACTCCATATTCCAAACTTCACTCTTCCCATACCATTAAAACACCACCTAACACCTATAATGATCTTAATAACTGATTTTCTTAAACTGTAACTCTTGGTTCAAGGGCACTGGCACACTATTAAGAACACCAGGTTAAAACTAGTATGATCACCATAATTTTCTATGAGCTAAAAACAACACAACTAAAAACCTAACACAAATCAAAATCTAGTTGATTTTGAAGCCATTTACTGTTTATAGGGCCTTAACAACAACAATAAATTTCTCCTAGCCTCAGTTTCCTCATTTACATTTCCACACAGCTTTTAGAAATGAACAAATTAGCCGTAATAACCGATAACAATGAAGGGGAAAAAAGGCAGTATTAAAAGTCTGTATTTACTTCACTTAAGGGTTTGAGAATCCTAAGAAAAGCAATCAACTGCTACATGTACACTCTCCACCAGCAAAGGGTGAACTGACCCCCCTCCTATTTTGGTTCCACTGTCGGTAATCTGGACTTGCAGATTTTTGCAAAAAGCATCTAAAAATAGGGTGGATGTATTTCTTTACATCTTTTATTTAGAATACCAACAGCACAGGTTTAACATCGGTATAACAGGGTAACAAAAAAAAAAACAAAACCCTAAAAACAGCAAATTGTTTTTAGAAACAAACAGTTAAAAGAGAGGAAATTTTTCAAATAATAGTAATTGGAAAATATTAGCAAATTATCTCATGGTCATTAATTCTCAAAATAAAAAAAAGGAAACCCACTTATTTCACACCTAAGGAGTATGTACCAAAGCAATAAAATAGTTCAAAGAACTTAAAACTGAAGGGAGCAAAATACCTTTTTTAAAGACATACCTTAATTTTTGCCTCATCTGGTCCTTTGCTAGAATCCGCTACTTTGGTCCCCTGTTTTTCTCTCTGCCTATAAGTCTTCATGACTCCACATAAAAAGGCACTTTTGTTCTGAAAAGTAATTTTCCAATCCTATTTAATAATTATCTCATCTGTATCTTACTAAATCAAACTTAAACTATATCAAAACTACAAGACTTTTATTCTTTTTACACTGACATTAAATTATGTTACCTGAACATGAGAGAGATCACTGTCTTTAAACTGCTGAAGAACTGCCAATGCGCCGTCTTCATTGAATTCTTTTAAAGCTTCAATAGCTCTTTCATCTAAATCACTATGTGCAACAAGCCCTGGAGAAGAGAAAGCTTAATTAGTTGTCAACTTTTAATATTTTTGAAAATATTTTTCACAGAAAATACCATGTTTACCAACACAAGTAACACATGTGCCAACTATGTATTCTTCTATTTCTCTTACCATCTATACAATGAAATACACATACTTTAGCCATTCTGAACTGCACTGTGAAGGCTTCTCAACCAAACTTACGATGATGAGTCAATTTCTTTTATATCTTGTTCTGTGTCTAAGTCAGATAGTTCTGAACACTATTTGTAAATATACAGGCTTACAAATTCTAAAATCAACCAACAAAATACCAAGCCTGACAAGTGAGCCCCTGTCCATTTCAAATAACCACTAGAAAAAGCAATAGCCACAAGACGACTGACAAACTACAAGTCTATAGTTACCAAATTATTTAACAAGAATCCTACTACAAAAATACCCCCAAAAGTCACATGGCCTGCTTCCAACAGTTAACAGCTGTTGCTACCATCATACACTTATCCATCTGGCCAGCCAGCCTTTACTTCCTAACCTTTCTTTCTTCCCTCCCTCTTATATACAGGACACCTTAACCTCTAGTTCACAACTACCACAACAAGGCAAAACAAAACTCCAGTTCCCACATATATTGGAAACCACAAAAAGTTGCTATTTTAGCTCAAAGCCAGAAATCCAATAGAAAAATTTCATAATATAATTTTGCAAGTGTTAGTTCTTACCTGCAACGTAAATTTCATCTAGTTTTTCAGCAACTTTCTGTGGTAAACCAGCATCAAGCAATGTCTGAAAATTTTCTGAATGGATAACTGCAGAAGTAGTATCCATGGGCTCTTCAGTACCATTTCCATTAACATGTTCTGTAGCCATGTTTCCAGAGATCTGTTCAAACGCAATAAGCAAAATTAAACTAGGATCTTCGAAAAGGGTAGAGGACAAAATGAGAGCCCCGACCTTTACTTTCTCTACCAATTTCTACACCAGCCAGCCTGCGTCTCCCTTTAAAGAAGCCTTAAAGTCACTATCGCCTGACAAGCCTGATTTGGAGCGCGCGGCACAGAAGGACGGACTCACTTGTTTTTCCTTAGCACCACCCCTGACTCACCTGCTAACACTCCCTAGGAAAAAACACATTACAAATGGAGCCCAATCAGCACGAGGACCAGCCAGCGTGCCACATGCAGCTGTGCTCATACAGAAAATGGGGTTTGTGTGGATAAAGCAAAACAGGGCTCTTCCGTCTCAAAGGTAAACCCCCAAAGTGCGCGCTTTTCCCGCCTGCCGCTTATAGATCAGTAACAACAGCCAGCGAAGAACAAAGCGCTCACACAAGATACCTTCCCACCACCCAATTTCTCCACCCTTCACCCCCGCATCCCAAAGCCCGCCCCCAACTCCGCACCCAGAGTGGCAGCCTCACCGCTAAGGCCACCAGGAGCCCATTAGAAACACGTGCTCTGCGCCTTCAAATGTCCTACAACTTCCTCCAACGGAAACCCACCTAGTCCCAGGCCAAGACGACCGTCACCGGCTCCCAACATCAAGCCGCGGTCTGAGTTCCCGGAAAGCATCAGCAGCACAACCTCACCCCTCAACACTGAGGCCGCGCCGGCGCCAGGCCACAGGCTCTCCCCGAACCCCCCCATTCCCAGCGCCGCCGTCTCCACCGTGACACATGGCTCTCTCCGCCCTAGGCGCCGGCGACCCCCGGCCGCCCGCCTGCCCTGCCGAGATGCAAACCGCGGCGAGTAGTGCAAGCCCCCATCCCTCTCCTGTCCATACAGTGACTGCGGCGCCCCGGCCAGCTGTCCCACCCCCGGACCGGGGCCGACAACCCGGCAGCGTGAGGGCGTTCCGCGAACTGCCCGTCGCCGACCGGCCTGCGAGTACCACCCAAGCCCGCCTCCCAGCTGCGGGACGGGACCGGCTCCTCTCCGCCCACTCCCGCGCCGCGGCGACAGCCACGACAGCACCAACTCCGCCGACGCTCGCGGTCCGCGTGGGCTACGGGGCCGCCTCCTCCCTGGAGCGCCGCAGACAAAGCCCGAATGGTAGCAGCACATGGAGTAGAGGGGGAAGTGGCGGCGCGGACCGCGGCCTACTCCCAAGCAGCCCCAGTCAACGTGCTCCTTTCCTCCTTGGAATCCATTTTCCAGAAAAGCCGGCTTCTCCCCGCACCGCCCTGTTCCAGCTCACTCCACAATGTCACAGAGCTCCCCTCCCAGACCCAGGTCCTGGCGGTCGTTACCTCCCCGTTGGGCTGCGGCGGAAGAATCCTGTCCGAGGAGATCAGGTTGCGGGAAACGCGTGCTCGCTGCTCCCTGTGTCCAGCGCGAGTGGAGCTGTTGTAAAATGGCGGCCGAAGCTCACGCCGCTGGCAGCAAACCCGATCCAGTTCCACTCGCCTCCGAGCGCGCTCCCTGTGCGCGCGCGCCCCCGCGTGACCCCCCCTTCCCTCCCCTCCCTCGCGCGTCCGCTTCTCTCACTCCCTCAGCCCCAGCCCTCCTTCAGCTCCTCCTCCTCCTCCCCCTGCCGCCGCTGCCGCCGCCGCCGCCGCTGCCGCTACCGCCGCCGCTGCCGCCACGACCAGCAGCGGCCTCTGTCTGCCTTCTCTTGGCCTTTCTTCTTCCCCCTCCCTGTTCCTTTCCCCCACCGGTCCCACTCCCGTCCGCGGCCTCTCAGGTACAAGTGGCCGCCTTTCCCCTCCTCACTCGCACGTTCGCCTGCTCACTCACTCCCTCCCTCACTCTCGGCCCCGTCCCCCCGGTCCCTGCCGAGTCGGCTCCTCTCTTTCTCTCTCCCGCGCTGACGTGACGACGTAGCCTACGCCTCGGGACGCGCGCCTGCGGGCTCCGCCCCCACGCACCACCGCCTCTCTAGCTTCTCACCTCCCGGGGGCCTCGAGACCCCGCCCTTCCGCTCCGGCGGCGGCGGCAGCGGCGGCGGCGGCGGCGGCGGCGGCGGCGGCGGCGGGGCCGAGAGTGAATGAAAGGCCCGCCCCTTCCCCTCCCGACACTCCGCCTCCCGCGGCCCTCCAGGCGGGGCGGGGCGGGCCCGCTCAGCGTGTTCCACTCGTTCTCCTTTGTCAGGAGACAGGCATCTCCCCACCCCGCCCCACCCCACTCCCTCTGCAGCAACGCGCGCACGCCACCCCCACTGAGCGCCCTCCCGTCCCACCCCCGACCCGTGTCCCGGGCAGGCGAGACGCTGGGCTGGAAGGCTCGGAACGCGACCGCAGCTCCCGGGGGAGCACCCACCGGTCTGTGCGCGCCGGGCCCCAGCGCCGCGGCCGCGTAGCCGTTCCAGGCTGTGTCCACGCCGCCGCCGCCGCCCCGCGCTCTCCTCACTCGGGAAGCTGCAGGCGCACGTGTCCCCCAGGGCGGGGCGAGGCAGACAATGGGGCGGCTGGGCAGGGTATCGGCGGGGAGACCCGCGGACCTTAGGTCAAACTGGCCATCGGGACCTCAGGGCGGGAGTCCTTCTGGGGAGACCAGGTCTTCCCTGTTGGACAATGGGACTTCCCGGGACCCCGCGCCGCTCGCTTTTACGAGAAACTTGGGCAGGAAGAGGGGGCGTCCGAGGCTCAGACGAAGAAACCCCGGCTGCTTTTGAGGGGGAACGGAGCTGGATCCAGCGGAGCGAGGAGTGGCTCCTTTCTTGGGATGATACGAAGGCCAGATTTGGAAGCGAAACCGCCCGGTGAAGAGTTGTGCAATACTCCTTTTCAGTCCCTGGCCTTTTAAGCAGTTAAGGGCTTCCTTAAAGCAGTTTGAGCAACTTGGAGCCACACAAAGCTGCGTGGTTAAGGCAGCTGTGAAGAACATACCTGTTTCTTTTCAAAAATTTTGACAATTAAATCTTACGTGAAGTGACATTTCCTTTGTAACGGGTTTACTAGTTACACGAGAGACAAGACAAAGGCATTTGAATTTCAGACGCGGTGTGGATACTAATTTTATACAATGCAGCTCTAATGAAAGAAAGTATCCTATTAATTTAAAAGCAAGCTTATTTTTAAGAACTCACGGATTCCCTAAATAAGCTCCATGCTATGACAACAAATTAATGGTTCGAGAAAAAGTTAGGTGAGCACTCTTCAAAATGCCTAAGCATATAAAATGTGAGATTATTTTCATAGGTTCCTGGATCGGAACCTGAAATATTTGACCTGAGGTCTCCACTACATAGAATCACTAACAAACATGTACTTGCTGTGGTATTCAGGCTATTCAGCAACAATTTAGCTCATAATCTAAAAGTCACAGATAATGTTATAAATGAAAAACAGCCAAAATGTTTAATTTAAAATATGATAAAATAGAGTAATTCTATAGATTAAAGAATGAAAATAATAGATTTGAGCAATACAATGCTTTTTATTTAGACCTTCCTGTGGAATCAGTGTTCCTTAAAGTAAATAAGAAAGTGCTTCTACCTAGGCAGTATTGTCTATCAGATGACCAAAGACTCCCAAAGTCAAGTCCCTAGTTCTAATTCCTTTGTCTAACCACCCCTAAGACCTTTGTATGGGCTTTAAGTCACTCCAAATCAACATTTTTTTTTAAAGCTGAGCACGTGATCTTCCTCTAGTCTTTCATCTCTAGTCCCATCTCAATGAACATCACCCACTTACAACCACTACCTGGAAACCAGAGAGTCACCCAAGACACTGCCTTCTCTCTCAATGCCATATCAGTTAATCAAGTCCTACTAATTTTGTCTCCCTGATATATTTTCATGTCTCTCTATGTTGCAACCAGGGGACATGACACCATTATTTACCATCTGAATTAATGATACAGCCTTCAGATTCATTCACTCTTAACAGTTTTCCTAATACATTCAAAACCCAAGTGACTCTCTCTGTCTCCCTCTCTCTCTCTCTGCCTGTCTCTGTCTCTGTCTCTTTTTCTGTCTCTCTGTGTCTCCCTTGCTTTCTGTGTTGCTGTATCTCTTTCTTTCCCAAATAAGAAAATACGGTGCATCAGGCCTGCAGTGTGGCTCATCTGGTTGGGCACTATTCTGTAAGGCAAAAGATCCCAGGTTTGATTCCAGTCAGTGCACATGCCTGGGTTGTGTTTTGGGATGCATATGAGAGGCAACTGATTGATATTTCTCACCATCTCTTTCTCCCTCCCTTCCTTCTTCCCCCTCCCTCTAAAAATAAATTTAAAAAAAATTTAAGTCAAACTTGTATATTGATTTACTTGGTATGGTAGACACACTGGCATAGACTAAAGGTGAAAGATCTGGCACAAGAAATGTGCTCAATAAGTGTGTTCTTATTTCCCTTAATCCTGTTAGTACCTAGCACAGAATTTGATTGTTAGTAAATATTTGTTCAATAAAACCCAAAGATAATTGGCTGAGATCCAAACAACCTTGGTTCTAATTCCAGGTCTGCTACTAATTGATAGTGTGAGCTTGGATAAAACATTTCACTTCTCCGAATTTCTATTTCTTCATCTATAAAAGTGTATTAAAACATAACTTTTAAGATCTCTTCTAGCTTTTATATTTTATAACGCATAAAAATTCTTTTCAAACTCTTGCTCTGGCTTGTCATTTTGCCACTTAAGGTCATTCCCATTTGAATCCTAACTTCCCTTTATAACAAAATAGCCTGCTATTTCCCTTGTATGGACCCTTGCTCCAAACAAAAGTAGGAGCAATAATAAAGTTTGATGATATATGATTTTGAATATCATCCCCAGCATGGATATAGAGAAATTGATACTCACATTCACTGTGAGCTGGAGGATAACTTTCTTACAAAATAATTCGGCAAACTACTTACCATAGTATTGTTTGTAGTGTGTGTAAAGATAAATATTACCTAAACATCCAGTAATAGGAGACTGGTTGAATAAATTATAGTGAATCCATATAGTGGATTATTCAGGAGCCATTGAAAAGAAGGAAATAGTAATAGATGTCCTAACATGGAAAAATACCCAGATTACCTTCTTAAATTTTTTAAAAAGCCATCTACGAAAAAAATGTACAGTATTACATTTATTCATTCAATTAGGTGCCTTTCATGTACCAAGCTCCAGAGTATACACTGGGTTAACAATGATGTATATCAAGATAGACATAGGTGATCCCTGACTCATAAGCTGTGTATATGTGTGTAACCAGATGTACATGGTTATAAAGATTTTGTTTCTACAGAAAACAATTACAGCCCTGGCTGGTGTGGCTCAGTGGACCAAGCACTAGCCTGAGAACCAAAGAGTCGTCACTGGTTTGATTTCCAGTCAGGGCACATGTCTGGGTTGCAGGCCAGGTCCCTAAGAGGGTCCCTCAAGAGGCAACCATACATTGATGTTTCTCTCCCTCTCTTCCTCTCTCTAAAAATAAATTAATTAAATTTTTTTTAAAAAAAGAGGGGAAAACAATTCCAATTAGAAGGATGGGATGGAGGGAGACCATCACTTTTTCATTCATACACTTTGGTGATATTTAACTTGTTATAATAAATATGATTTTAAAAAGATATTTATGTACCACATTACTGCCTTTCCATTCATATAACCTTTGAAGTAGTAAAAAGATGGAGACCTGTTGAGTTGCAATCAACGAAAGGCAGGCATACAAGCATGCCTGTTTGGATTTTTGCTTGTCATTGAAAATTCTTCTACCTTCTCAACTCCACTGTGTTTTTTAAAATATCATATTTCCCTCTTTTTTCTAAACTTCCTGCAATTATTGTATATTAATGTTATAATGGGAAGGGAACCCTAGAATTCATGTGAGAAAAATCCACAACAAACCATTATTCTGTCCTAAGAACCGTAAAATCTTAGAGTCAAGAGACACTGTGGAAGTCATTCAATTCAATTTTTTCAGTAATTAAGAAAGTTTTGTAGCGTCCCTCATGTTTTATTTTCATAGTAATTGAAAGGCTGATGTGTTAAAATTAGAGACTTCTGCTCTTCAAAGACAATGCTGAGAGAAAGAAAAGAAAAGCTGCAGATTGGGAGAAAAACCTTTGCAAAACACCTATCTGTTAAAGGACTAGTATCCAAACTTAAATCTACAACTCAACAATATACAAACTCAAACATGTTAAAACCCAACAATAAGAAAGTAGATAACCCAATTTCAAAAATGAGCAAAGCCCTGGCTGGTTAGCCCAGGTGGTTAGAGGAATGTCCTGATACACCCAGGTTGTGGATTCGATCCCTAGTCAGGGCATGCACAAGAATCAACCAGTGAATGCATAAATAAGTGGGACAACAAAACCAGTGTTCTTGCTCTCTCCCTCCTTTTCTCTCTTTCTAAAAATCAATAAATACCTTTTCAATTAAAAACAGAAAATGAGCAAAGGACATCATCAAAGAAGATGTACAGAAGGCAAATTAACATACAAAATGGTGCTCAACATCATATATCATCAGGGAAATGCAAATTAAAACACTGAGATACCGCTATACAT